ATTTTGATAATGATTTAAGTTGAGTGTGAAAGTACAAAGTTGCTCTCACTTTTAACTAAATACTGATGAAAATAAATTCATGTGTTGGCTCATTTCGTGTACAAAATCGAAGAGATTGATTTCACTTCAGGAAGGGCGATGTGGATTATGAATGAAGTAAACTGTTCGCGTCTTGACATTTACCCCATTTGTGCCATCTTAAGTGACTCACTCCCAAGAAACACACTCAGGGTCCTGTTCTTCCCGTGTCATTTAAAAAACTTTCCTTTCCTTCGTTGGTACTACTCTCTAAAACATACTCATTTTGGAAGAGAGCAGACTTTCCTTGGCTTTTATATGCCATGGTTTTCTTTCAATGCCTTTTTTTTTTTCTTTCACTCAAAGTAGTTCAAACTTAAGTTTTCAGGTTTTTTTTTTTTTTAATGTTGGAAGTTTTTGTTTATCCACACACAGAAAGACCTTTCATTGTTGATCGTTTTTGCTGTGAAAACTTAATTTTAAATGTGCAAATGATTTCATTAAATAGTCTGTTATCCATTAGAAATGTGCTTAGCATGAACAAATCACTTATCCTTTAAAAATTCTTTGAAGAAAATTAACGTAGAATCTTAAGCTGAGGAGGACTTTAAGAAATCATCTGGTCTGGCTCTCTGCCTTGAAGTAACTGCCTGTTGTAACTTCTAAAACAGGTTATTATCTCTTTTGCCTTTGAAGAATTCACAGACCGAGATCCCATGATCTCTGTAGGCAGTCTGCCCCAGAGTGTCTTCATTATATGGGGCGAAACTAGACCTGAGGCCAGGCATCTGAGTGAGGTGACTCCCACGTGCCAGTGTCTCCCCTTTTTCAACTCACTGTCCCAGGCTTCTCACTTTGATCTTCATTTTTAGGCATTCAGAAGGCTCTCAAGAGGCCATACAGCAAAGAAAGGTCATGAAGGAGGAGAGGGACACCACTAGCAAATATTCACCCTACGTAGCATGTGTGAAGGGCAAAATAATACTACTTTTCAAAAGAAAATTTCCCTTTTTACTTTCAATTTTCCCTTTTTTACTCCTCGTTCCAGTCTTTATAGGGGTCTGACCACCCATCTTATTTTGATTACAACCCATTTTCTATCACACGTTATCCTCTTAAGAAAAGAATTTCTTCTTGCGGGAAGTAACAATGATATTTGACATTTCGTGAGTGCATGTCATTGTCAGGCACTGTGGTAGGCATTTTTCATGAATTCTTTCTAAACTCCACAACAACCTGCCCTGCTCGGTAGATGTAAATATACCCCCATTGTTTAGAATTTCAATTTGAAACCCAGGAAGCTTGTTTCCCTGCTATTGATAGGCAGAGCCAAGATTAGAACTCACGTCTGCCTGGTCCCAAAACTTGTGCTATATCTGCTATGCAAGCTGGTCTCTCAGGTCTTACTTCATAGTATCAAAATCTCCATGAATAGGGTTTTGTTGATAAGTTGGTGACTACCACATTCATATTGTTTGGGTTTTCTGAGTAAAGGACTGTATGACTAATCACAGAATCTCTTTTAATCTCCTAGCTTCCTCTCATTGCTGCCTAATCTTCTCAGGTTCATAGTATAAGAAATCTTCTCATAATTAGGATACCTGAGCTTATAATTAAAGCAAACATATAATTTATTGTCTAAACTGGGACACTTTTGAGAGTAAAATGCTGTTAATTAACTTTGCCGTAATGATAGACATAACCCAGGACTCTCCCAGGCAGACCAGGACTTGTACCCTACCTATAATGGATAAGAAAATGCAAACCCATGAAGCAAATTACTGGGGAGGAATAGATCCTTTGTGGTAGAAATACGTATTTAATTACTCATTGGAAGAAAATATGAAACAATCTTACGATTCTTTCAGTTAACATAATAAAGGTTTACTGACAACATTTTAACATACTGAAAAAGAAGCATAATGTGAAAGGAATTGTGGAGATATACATTGGTATCTTATAAATGAACAAGTCACTCTGCTGATTTCTTAAATGGCTTTGGTTATCACATGTGGTAGTTTGGGATTATAAGAATTTAAACTAAGCATGTAACAAGGAATTATTTCTTCCCTTACAGCTTATCATGGATATAACCAAATGATGGAATGCCTTCAAGGTTATAAGCGGGTTAACAACACCTTTTGTCAAGGTAAGGTTAACTGAGTTTGTTAATGTGTACCCAGCAGTTGTTTGGGCTTTGTAGAAATTTGAGTAGTTTTGCCATAGGTTGCTCATTAGCCCAGCATGTGACCGTCACATGCTCATTAGCCCAGCACATGCACCACCTCATGCTCTTTCCGTTTAGCTAACGCAATATAGAAGTTTAATGTGTAGCTGTATAGGTTGCTCATTAGCCCAGCATGTGACGGTCACATGCTCATTAGCCCAGCACGTGCACCACCTCATGCTCTTTCCGTTTAGCTAACGCAATATAGAAGTTTAATGTGTAGCTGT